TATGGGGGTTTCTATAGAATTTTGATGGGAGTTTCTGCGTATCTTTCACAATGCTTTTACAGGAGTTTTTACGGGGGTATTTATGGGATGGATTATGGGATTTCTATAGGATTTCTATGGGATTTCCTATGGGATTTCCTATGGGATTTCCTATGGGATTTCCTATGGGATTTCCTATGGAGGTTTCCATGCAGGTTTCTATGGGGTCTCTATGGGATCTTTATAGAGTTTCTATGGAAATTTCCATGGGGTTTGTATGGGGGTTTCCATGGGAATTTCTATGAGAATTTCCATGGCGAATTCTACAGGGTTTCCATGGGGTTTCCATGAGGTTTCCACAGGAATTTCTATGGGAATTTCTATGGGAATTTCTATGGGAATTTCTATGGGAATTTCTATGGGAATTTCTATGGCGGATTCTACAGGGTTTCCATGAGGTTTCCTGTGGGGTTTCTGTGGGGTTTTTTTGAGTGTTTCTGTGGGGTTGCCAGGGGGGTTTCTATACGGTTTCTATGGACATTTTTATGGGGTTTCTATGAGGGTTCTGTAAGATTTCTACAGAATTTCTATGGGGTTTCTATGGGGTCTCTATAGGGTTTCTATGGGGTTTCTATGGGGTCTCTATAGGGTTTCTATGGGGTTTCTATTGCGTTTCTGTGGGTATCGTTAAGCAGGTTTTTATGGGGTTTTCTAAAGGGTTTCTACGGGATCTCTACAGGGTTTCTATGGGGTTTCTATTGCGTTTCTGTAGGTATCATTACGCAGGTTTTTATGGGGTTTTCTACAGGGTTTCTATGGGATCTCTATAGGGTTTCTATGGGGTTTCTGTGAGTATCATTACGCAGGTTTTTATGGGGTTTTCCACAGGGTTTCTATGGGTTTCTATGGGATCTCTACATGGTTTCTATGGGGTTTCTGTGGGGTTTCTCACTCACCTCCGGCTATGGGGCAGCCCCACAAGCAGCAGGGCGGGGTCGGAGCGGTTGAGCCGGAGCCCCCCCAGGCCCCCCCCGGGCAGCCGCAGCGGGGGAGGGGCACCCAGAGCCCTCTGGAGGGTGAGGGGCAGCGCGGCCGCGGCCGCTCCGGCCACCGAGGGCAGGGCCAGGGCTGACCCTGCTGAGCCCAGGGCACCCTGAAACAGGGAATGGCATTAAATATCCTAAAATACCCTAAAATAACCCAAAATAACCCCAAACCCCACCGAGGGCAGGGCCAGGGCTGACCC